TTATCGGTAAATTGTATCACTTATTTCACGGTTATTCAAACAAAATCTTACATTTTCCATGTATCAACATTGCCAAAATCCATTTGCGATAAAACAACAGCGAATAAGCGTTGATCTCTCCCCAAAACCATGTTTTTGGGCGTCAAAACAACTTTTTGCCATACATTTCCTTCTAGCGACTTGCAATGTTTGCCCCCTGACGATCCCAAAGTTCTTTGCGCAAACACGGGTATCCGATTACTGGCAACTCATTCATTGGGCGGCTCTGAGCCTCAGAAATAATTGTGCAACAATTAAACAAATCTTCCTAATAAAATTAAAATCAACTTTATAACTATTTTAACAGATACGAGATTATGATGTCATGCTGGCGTCCAGACCCCTCAAAACGCCCGTCATTCAGCGAGCTTGTGACGTCACTGGAGAAGGAGCTGGAAAACACAGGAGTAAGTGGAGAAAATCTGTAATTTATGTAATGTATGCAATAACGAAAGTTAACCAATTGCTGTTTTAGTACATTTTATTGTGTACTAACGGAACTATGTCACGATGTTTTAAGCCTTTTTCTGTTGCAACTGAGCAAGATTAATTAAGAAATTGGCCGGTTTTTTTCAAAATGCGTTAGTCGTGAAATGTCCTCTTTAAATTTGTGTTTGGAAGGAGCTAAATAACCATCGACTCGACATCTTTATTAGCGCGCGTTAACCGCTTAGACCTAAGATGTCTGTTTGCACACGTCCTTTCTTGGCCTGCTTTGAAAAGGAGAGCATAAAATACCTTATAAAGAATAGTTCATTGTCTTCAAAGTGAAAATTCACCTTTTCTCTTCTTTGTTTCGTTAATTTGCGACACGCGGAGTAATGTGTTTCCACTCGAAAAATGTCACCCGTTGATTGCCTTATCCCTTGCCTTTAACCTAAATTCCTTGCCATAAAACTCTCAAGATTTTCACCAAGTGAGGTAATTTTAGTAATCACTAAAATAGTTTTCTTATTTCCTGTTTTCGCAGCACTATATCAGTAACAAAAACAATGGAATGGAATCTCAAGGAAGCGTAATCACAACTGAAGAAGACAATGACCAGAAAGGCAATGATTCTTCGGCAAAATGGCTACTAGCTCGAAATGACAGTTGATAGAACCAAACGAACCAACACTTAACGGTTTCTAGTAATTTCTGAACATATATTGTGTACAGTGGAATCCGATTTCTCGAACTAGCTGATTTTTCATACCAATTTTCGTTTCCCCCTTGGACGTCGAAAAATCGGGATTTCACTGTAATATAAAACTTTACGTTCAAGCTAAATCTCGCGGACTGAATTGTCCTTTGAAACTTGAAACTATCTATACGCGTATATTAGTTCATTAAACAGCTTTGAGGTTTAAAAGTCGAGTAACAGTGAATCATCCTTCTTTTCGTCTTCGCCTGAATTGAATTATCCAGGAATTATTTTCCAAATCGTTCTCCGAAACGTCGGAGAAATGAGAAAACATTCTGTATTTTTTGTTACCTTTAGCTGACTTCACAAAACATACCTGCAGTACATTTGACACAGGTAGAATATAATACTCATCAGACAAATGGCACTGTTATAAAGTGTGTTTAATGAGATTGCTTGCAAGATAAATTATCATTACAAAGACTAAAGGCACTAGCGCATAAATCTCGTTCCCAGGGTCTCCCTTCTACAATTAAACGGTTCAAGGGAAGAGAAACCCTGGGAATGAGGTTGCTAGCGCATAAGCATAGGCCTAAGCAACATTTGTAGATGCAGTAAGGTGCTGTTAAAAAGCGCCTTTTGTTTGGAAATTTTGGCAAAGTTCGAAATTGAAACTTATACCCGAGCCAAGTCATCGGTCCTTTCGAATCGTGTCCGACTTCTCGAGTGAGTGGAAAACCGACCATTTTCCAATTCAAAAGATAGAATAACTGATATCACTATTTCTCTATTACGCTCTTTGACCTTACCGTACACAAACTAGCAATAAGCCAATCAGAAGCCGTGTCTACTGTCCTGATATCAAGTCACTGACATAATATGGCTACGATATCATGGTCACTTAATTTGCTACTATATCATGGTCGTTTGGTCTCGCCATGGGTATTTTGAATACGAAACATGGCTCGACCAAACTCGCTTGATATGCCGCTAAAGCGCAGTAAAAAGGTATAATAAGTTATAAATATGATAATGTGGACTAGCTTAACTTTTATCTTATTTCGTCGAATGTGATGTGCCAGAACGCGAAAAAGAATCCAAAAACGTTAAACATGATTGGTTGTTACACTGCCGTATTCTCTATTACTCTGTAGTACTCCATTTTACAAATAAATAACAAGAAAAATGTAGTGGAATAATGAATACCTTATGCGATGAATTAACCGATTATTTGCGCACTTTTCATTCTTCCTCTTCTTTTTCCTTGCTTCGTATTACGAAACTTGTAAAATATCCGCGCGTATTATCTGAAAAGCGACCGAGTAAATAAGGTGCATATCTTGTGCAATAATTAAGCCTGGGACGTATAAACGGGGCGGGGGGAATGTTATCCCCTTGTACAGCAAGCTAAAAGCCATCTACTAACCACAAAATGATTTAGATACGTCTTCTCACAACGAAAACCCAACGGTATATAAAGGTTAACAACATCTGACCGATTAAAGCGTGAACACATTCAGCCATCAATCGTATAAAAACGTAACAGATTCACGCTTCGTTGTGGTGCCCTCAATAGTTTACAGATTCCTTTGAGTATCGCATGTAACTCCTTTAGTTACATGCATACATAAACTTTATTAACGTGTCGCAATTTTGTTAGCCGAGGGGAAACACCCATCTACTAATTGGGGACGCTTCATATAATAAAAAACCTACTAACTATTGTCTAATAAATTATTAAAACGCTTACCAACTATTAACTAATGAGATAAACTATTAAAAACTTAGCTAAGAAGAAACAGAAGAAGGAAAAAAAAAAACTAACAATAGGAAGGAAAAATTCATTCTGTTAAGAATTACAAAGAATGCAATTTGAGCAATTGTCGTCTTTACCAACACACTTAAATCACATTTAGGAATACGATTGTTAAAACTGTACAGTGATGGCTAATAAACAGAATAAATGAATAAAGGGTTCCGATTTCGCCTGGTAGCTTATTCCACAACTTTGGTCCCAGGTATGGCTCATATTCCGTTGCCGTCCGCCTCTCATACGCGCGCACCTTCCATAAATCGGACGGACATTACTAAACGCTTGTTCTCGATACACAAACACCATAATGCAAACCTCTCATGCTCGCCCTCTTTTCTTGAACTGATGAACTAGAAGGAAGTGGTTTGCTCTTCATGGCTATCGACTTCGGCTGAAAAATTTACATTTCCATGAGATTCAGTTTCGAGGCCTTTTTCCTTCGGATAGTGCTGTCAAAAGAGAAAAGAAAATTAAAAAAAAACATTGTCAAAGGTTAACGGTATAATGGCATAAAAAGAGAAAAGCGACCTCCATCGCAAGTTTGGTTACAGTGGGAAGTAAATGAATTGTTGGAAAAACTGGCTAAACGGCAGCCGTTTCCAATGACGCGGTGAGGCATATGTCACGCAAGACTGTATGCGCGTAACGCGTGACATTTTAGCTCCGTAACACATGCTGGCTAAAATTTCAAAAATTGTTTTAGTTTTGTGGTTAACCACAATAGGATGTAACGTAGCAGGTAATGACGTTTGTATTTTTCTTTTAATATATTATTTTTATCTAAGTACAAAAGAAAAAAGAGAAACAAATAAACAAACAAACAAAAACGACCGATACAGGAAACGAGAACGACAATAACGTCTAAAACAACAACAGCGGCATTCAATACTTACATCTCTATTGAGTAACTCCCGCTCCAGTGACGTCACAAGATCGCTGAATGACGGGCGCTCCGAGGGGTCTAGGCGCCAGCATGATATCATGATCTCGTAGCTGTCATTACGACAAGAAAAATAAATTGTTACAATCTTAAATTACTCAAATGCTAGGAATGCCTCAGTAACTTTACTAGGGTCTAGGATTATCAGAGTCGACTTTGAGAAATGGAAATGTTTGACGTCTACACAGCGCTACTTGTCCTTAACCGAACTACTACAATGGGGGATGTAGGGGAGAGGCCCGGGGGGCCGGGCTGCCCCCCCTTATTTTGGGTAAAAAAAGAAGAAATCACAGTAGGAAGAAAAGCCGGCAAGGCAAGCAAAACAAAAGCGCCGCCCCCTGCCCCCTTAGCTCAAGGTCTGGATCCGCCACTGTACTAAACTCAAACTAGCCAGCAAACACAACCAAATCGAAACGAAACGAAATATTCATGATTGAAAAACGTTACTCTGGTTTGAGAAAGGCTGAAGTTTTAGCCGAAACGTTGGGACTTTTACAAAACATTTTTTACTACATTTTTACATTTTTTAAACCAGAGTAACGTTTCTCAATCATGAATCAACCACCTGGTTACAGGACCATTTTTTTGGAAACAAAATATGTTTACGACTGAAAATCTAATTACCAAAAACAATGCACAGACAACAATATAAATATCCTAAACAGATCATTTACATTTCGTCAGGACATCCGTCTGGCTGCTTTAGTCTTTTTTCTGATTTGAGAAAATCGACAACGTCCATGCCTCCAAGACCAGAATACGGCGTTTTACCTTACAGAAATGAACAACAAAGTAGACATGACTTCATCATTTAATAGTTAATGTGCAACTAAGGAACCTTTCCCGACGCTTATCCGGGCTCATTAAACTCGAGAGAATATTGACAAAATGATTAAAAGTCTGTTACCTCCAGACTGTATTTCCCATAACACCACGCCAAATGACCATCTGCGAAAGAAACGTGATCTCCTAAGTTGTTAGCACGTGCTTTGAACAGTTGTAGAAATTAGTTAACCTTAACAAATCATTTGTGGGAAACAGCTGGTCTTGTTCCTGTACATTACTTTTATACTAGGGTCTTTTATAAGAGCAGACTAACAGGTTTATTATGTGAAAACATTTAAAGCATTTCGCCTTGGCTTCAGAGTTACTCCAAAATGGGCCGACGAAGTTGCTGTTTCTTAATTCGATCAGAGTGGAAAAACGTACTGCGCAGCTTTCTGCGCATCCCTTGCCCTACCTGCGGACTCAGGTAATAATCAAGCTGCAATGGTTGGAAAGAGCGGCGGACTGTAATAAGGTGCGCGAGGATGTCGCTCGGTTGATTTATTTATACTTGAGCAAGCATGAATTTTTCTCGGCATTTTACTGTTAAGAAAACAAGGCTCCCTTTGCCTGCGGTGAAGTTCTCTTGCTTATATATTCAGTGGGTTGCTTATATGAATGCAGTATGTAAAGAGTGTTTGCGAATAAAAATGTGTCATTGCAACGAAATTTCTTGTACACCGCGCGAAAATAAAGGGCTCGGAAACCGTCTTTAGGTTAATTTTGTCCGAGCTGATGAAAATTGATTCCCCGCGAAAACAATACATCAGCTTTCCATTAGTGACGTTAAAATGTCGCTGTTTACCGGGAATATTGGGAAAACATACAAAGTTCGTAGTCGAAATTCCCGCCATTTTTTCAAACTTGGAGCCTGGCGCACCACCAAAACTCGCGCAAGCTTATTTCGTTTGTCCGCTCTGAAGTTTCTTAAATATTCGTATTTTTCGCCACTTTCTGAATAGAAATAATCGACAAATAAATGGACCAAGCTTGTTTAGTCAAGATGGCTGGAAATTGGCCAAAATAACGGGACCAATATTCAGCCATCTTGACCGAACAAGCTTGGCCCGCCCAATAAAGGATTTATTATATGGCTTTCGGGGAAATTGTTCTT